CTGTTTTTTTGTAGCCAGAAGTTATGGGGACTTATCTTCCTGGTACTGGAAACCTGGGCTGGGGGTCCTGGCATGGTTCTGGGACTCCTCTCTTCTGAGATATCCTCCCTAATTTTTATCTACCACATGTGCGTGAGGGACCAGCCTGTTCCGAGTCTGCACTCCTCCTACTAGCCTGGATGGATGTGGTTTCTTAATTGTCAGACTTCCATTCAACTCGATTTCTGATATTGTGAGTGATGGCTATTCTATATTTTAATTGTAACTTTGATGTGGTTGTGGAGGAGGTGGGCCGCATCTATCTATGATACCATCTTTACTGGAAGTCTCCCTATCCTATCTTTTGGTTGCTTCTGTATTATTGAAGTGGTTTTTTTTTTTAAATAAAACTAGTATTGCTCTGAGCATAGTGATCAGCCCAATGTGAAAGATTAAAGCCTTCTGATGTCTTATTTTTGTATGTGTGTCTTTTTTAGTTCCCCTTATACATATATAGTTCTTTGGGCCTTAATTTCCCACAGAAATTTGCCCCAGCATTAGATGGTCTATTATACCACTATATCTATATCTATAATATCTGCTCAAGCATCTGTAGGTATGTAATTTTTGTCATTTTCCTGCAGATTTCATGAGTAGTGCTCACCTCTTTTTCCCATCTGAAATTGATATTAGGGGAGATAGAAGCCAGTCCTTCAGATAGCCTTTAGCTTTACAAAATAATTTGAAAATAAAGTTTGCTCCATGTGATCCACTTGAAAGAGGGAACTGATGACAGGGGTGTTGGCCCTTCCAGACCAAGAGCACTGTTGCACCACCAAGGCTGTGTGGAAGGGGCAGTAAAAACACGGCAAAATTGTTTTACCCTCTTGAAAGTGGCTTCTTGACTATGCATTCACTTAGTTGTTGTGAGCCTTTGGCTGTTTTTGATATTCCTCTAAAAGTTTAGCAGTTTCTGTTTTTGTAACACTAAAGCAGATTTATTGAAAAAATTTTAAAAACTTGTTTAGTTCTATACCATATTCTCAATAAATTGACACAAGTCTCTGAAAGTGCTGTTTTAGTTTCCGAATACTAAAACTTCAGCAGATAGGTATGTATGAAATGTATAGTTTTAATGAAGGTGAACCTCAAAAAAAGGAATTCTAATGGAAATTGCAAGATGGGAGAATCCACCACTCCCCCAGACAGGTGAGTGTTTGAAGGTATACAGTATCTTTGAGTAAAGGGAGGAGGAAATGCCTTGGGACAACACTCCCATTTGAGTACCTTGCTGACAAATCCTATTAATTCCATTTACTCAATTCAGACTTGACCTCACCTTAATTTGAGCAAAAGTGTTATAAAAATTATGTAGTTAGGAAATAGAAAATTAAAAAGTCTTTGGCCTTATAATACCTACTCCTGATTCAGAATGACAAGATTAAGGAAAGTGTCATATCAAAACAGGGTTACTATGTGAGTAGATACCATATATTTAGACAGCTTTAATCTGGCTTGATTCTTTTTTCTTTTTATTGAATTTATTGGGGTGACATTAGTTAATAAAATTATATAGGTTTCAGGTGGACAAATCTATAATCCCTCATCTGTATATTGTGCTGTGTGTTCACCACCTCAAGTCATGTCTCCTTCTGTCATCAATTATTCCCCCATACACTTTTCTACTTGCTCTCAACCCCTGCTTTCCCTCTGGTAACCACCATACCACTGTCTGTGTCTAAGAGTTTTTTTTCTTTAGTCCCTTTGTCTTTTTCACCTAGCCCCTCGACTCCCCTCCATGCTGACAGCTGTCAGTCTGTTCTCTATTTATAAGTCTGTTTCTATTTTTGTTGTTGTTGTGCATTAGATTCTACATATAAGTGAAATCATGTGGTATTTGTCTTTCTCTGACTGACTAATTTCACTTACCATGATAATTTCCAGGTCCGTCCATGATGTCACAAAGGGTAAGATTTCCTCCTTTTTTTTTTTATGGACTAGGAGTATTCTATTGTGTATATGTACCATAGCATTTTTATCTACTCATCTGCTGATGAACACTTGGGCTGCTTCAAAATCTCGGCTACTGTAAATAATATTGCAATGAATATAGGGGTGCATATATTCTTCTGAAATAGTATTTATGATTTCTTCAGATATATTCCTAGAAATTGAATCACTGGGTCATAAGGCAGTCTATTTTTAATTTTTTGCAGAGACTTGATACTGCTTTCCACAGTGGCTGCAGCAGTCTGCATTCCCACCAACAATTCAAAAGTGTTCCCTTTTCTCCACATCCTCACTAATACTTGTTGTTGATTTCTGACAGGTGTGAGTTGATCTGCCATTGTGGTTTTAATTTGCATTTCTCTGACAATTAGTGACATTGAACACTTTTTCCGCATCTATTAGCTATCTGTGTGTCCTTTGGAGAAGTGTCTATTCAGATCCTTTACCCCCTTTTTAATTGGATTTTTTATTATTTTGGTGTTGAGTTATATGAGTTCTTTATAAATTTTGGACATTAACCTTTTATTGCATGTATCGTAGGAAAATATGTTCTTCCATTCAGTGGTTTTTCCTTTCATTTTTTTGATGGTTTCCTTTTCTGTGCAAAAACTTTTTAGTATAATGCAGTCCTATTTGTTTATTTATTCTTTTGCTTTCCTTGCCTGAGAAGATATATCAGAAATAATGTTAGTAAAATTTCAGACATTTCTCTTACTATGTTTTCCTGTGTCATTTTTATTCTTTCAGGTATTACATTTAAATCTTTAATCCATTTTGAATCTATTCTTGTGTATGGTGAAAGGAGGTGGTGTAGTTCATTTTTTGCACATATCTAATTTTTCCAACATTATTTATTGAATAGACTACCTTTATTTCATTGTATGTTTTTGCCTCCTTTTTCAAATATTAATTGACTATAAAGGTGTGGGCTTATTTCTGGGCTTTCTATTCTGTTCATTGATATATGTGTCTGTTTTTATGCCAGTACCATACTGTTTTGATTATTATGGCCTTGTAGTATAGTTTGATATCAGGGAGCATGATTGATATCTTTAACTTTGTTCTTCTTCCTCAGGATTGCTGAGGCTATCTTTTGTGTTTTCATATAAATTTTTGGAAGACTTGTTCTAATTCTATGAAATACACCATTGGTATCTTGATTGGTATTGTACTGCATGTATAGTTTGCTTTGGGTGGTATGAACATTTTTTTTTAAAATTTAACAAGTGTGTTTATTTAGCTTGGCAACATTCTGGGCCTTAGGAAGAATCAGGGAAGAGATGGGAGGAGGAAGAAGTGGTTCCAATCATGTTACTTAAAAAAAATAATCAAAGCAAAGCAAAAACTCTCTCATGGATTGCAATTAATATGCAAACAAAATCATAAGTATGAACTGTCTTGGCAAAAAGCTATACACTAAAATTGACAAATACTAAAAAAAAATTTTATTGTTGCTCATATATAGTTTACTGCCTTTTCCCCCACCCCAGCTTTCCCCCTCCCTCCCCTGTTTCTCTCTCCTTCCCCTGTTTCCACTCTCCCCTAGTTATTGCCTATGTGTCCTTTATAATTGTAGTATGAACATACTAATGATGTTAATTCTTCCTATCCATCAACATGGCATATGCTTCCACTTATTTGTATGTTCTTCAATTTCTTTTCAGTGTCTTACAGGTTTTTGAGTATAGGCCTTTTACTTCCTTGGTTAAATCTTTTCCTAGGTATTTTATTTTTTTATGCAGTTGTAAATGGGATTGTTTTCTTAGTTGTTCTGATAGTTCATAATTGGTGTATAAAAATGCAACTGATTTCTAGATATTTGTTTTGTATCCTGCTACTTTACTGAATTTATTTATCAGTTCTAGTAGTCTTTTGGTAGAATCTTTAGGGTTTTCTATATATAATATCATGTCATTGCAAATAATGTCAGTTTTACTTCTTCCTTTTCAGTTTGGATGCCTTTTATTTTTTTATGCTTATCTGATTTCTGCAGGTAGGACTTTCAGTACCGTATTGAATAAGAGTGGTTAAAGCAGACATTCCTGTCTTGTTTCCAATCTTAAGGAAATGTTTATTGGTTTTGCCCATTGAGTATGATCTTGACTGTGGGCTTCTCATTTATGACCTTTATTACATTGAGGTGTGTTCCCTCTATTCCCACTCTGCTGAGAGTTTTTATCATAAATGGGTGCTGGATCTTATCAAATGCTTTTTCTGCATTTATTGATATGATCATGTGGTTTCTATCTTTCATTTTATGTGGTTTATTGCATTTATTGACCGCAGATACTACGTCAACCTTAAATCCCCAGAATAAATCCCATTTGATAATGGTATATGATATTTTTGATGTATTGCTGAATCCAGTTTGCTAATATTTTGTTGAGGATTTTTACATTTATATTTTTTATCAATATTGACCTTTCATATTCTTTCTTTGTAGTGTCTTTATCTGATTTTGGAATTTGAATAAATTGGCTTCATAAAGAGAATTTCGGGAAGTTTTCCCTTTTCTTGAATATTTTGAAATAGTGTGAGAAGGATATATTAGTTCTTTTTTGAATGTTAGGCATTGTATACACTGAATTATTTTTTTATTTTTCTTTTGCTCATAAAGTAATTTGTTTAATATCAAGTAGGGAAAGAACATTTGGATATTAGATCTGGAGAAAAAAGTGGGTGACAGATTATAACTTATCAAATACAGATTTCAAAAGTAGACATCCAGAATGAAGGGGGGGAAATAGAACAACTGTAATGGCATAATCAATAAAATATATTTTAAAAAAAAGTAGACATCCCTTCTTACTAATGCAAGACATAGAGTTTTACTGTCTAGTTAAAAAACATTTTAAGTTGAGTTGTGTGTGTTTAAAATGATAAAGATTTTTATTGCTATTTTAAGTTATCAGCATTAAAAAGCAATTAATATAATTATACTATTAATAAAAAAGACAAAAATACTTTTTAGCATTAAAGTGTTTATTAGCAGAAACTACAATAATGCTAGGAATACCTTCTTACAAAATTAAAAAGCCAAACACCAATAATCATTTCTCATATTCTAATAATAGGTGGGGTGACGAAGGCATTTGTGAATGGGCCATTGAGAACACATGTGAACATAGGATGAAATACACAATTAGTGCCATCTCAGCAGAATGCGGCCACCTCTGTTTCGGTACAACCTACAGAACAACACTTGCTAGATAGTACGGAAGGGACATGCCTCTTTTGTAGGAAATGTTTAGCTAAGTGTACATTTTTAAATTCTGAAACACTTTTGTGTCCTGCTCCAATAGTATGGAATCTATTTTCCTTGAGTTCTTCAAAGTTAAGATTTGTATCCTCCGATGTATCTTGCTGTAGTATCTCTTTCAATACTGGATGCCTCTCATCCAGTGTTCTCTTCAGTTTCTGTGGCAAAGTAGGAATCAATTCCATTATTGTGTTTAAGTTTCCTGCATTTTTCATGGTGGAAAATGTCACGATTTCTAAGTTAAAAAGAGAAGGGGAAAGGAAAATATTCATGTCAATGAACATCAGGAAAACTATAAAATTTTGCATAGACATAAAAGAAAGCATTGCCTCAGTAAACTTAAATATCAAAACCATCAGCAAGTACCCTTATATCTAAACAATTTAGTTTATTATAGTTGGGCAGCTTAAAGTTCTACCACATTGCTAAGGTTGTAGTGCTTCATTCCCTTTGCCCATCTGTTTCCTCACCTTATACCCCTTTAATGCTTTCATCAAAGCCCTTTGACTCTACTTGACATGCTTGAAGTCACATCTGGTTTGTCAGAAACACTCAGTTTGACCATATGTTAATTCTTCTTACCCGAGTAATTTTCTTCCATTGCTAAGTAAGCTCAGAGTTATGATAACAACCCTTGAAGAGTATATTATTTTAAACCATCAAATGTTCCATGGTGGAAAATCACTGCTTGAAGGTAAAGTTAAAATGGCAGAATTTTCAAATGCTCTAATATCTTAGGTAGGCGATACCAGTCTTTGACTTCCTCATACATCTACTATTTAACAATTTCTTTCCCACAAACTATTTACTCCAAATTGTAGTTGGGTCCCTTGTGATTTTAATGACCCTAGTATTTTTGGCAGCTGAAATTAAATAATTTAATTCATAATCAGGCCTTTGTTCACATGTTAACCACTTTTCCTGCTCAATTTCTTTTGTTTTCATGAATATACTCCTAAGTTGCTGATGTACTATCTCTTTGTCAAGCAAAGAGATAGCTTCAGGGTCACTAGGAGAATTTATTAGTTTGTTTTATCAAAGGAAAATATGTCTTCAAGGTAGCTGTGACCAGCTGCTGATGCCCAGGAGTCTGATATGAAAAAAAACATCATCTGTGACTAAAGAAACACAACCTTCTCTCTCTGTTCCCTGGAATTCTTCCTCCCATACTCCCTAGCTACATAAAAACTCCCTACATTTGCTTTTAGAGAGAGATGGATTTGAGAGATCTTGCTCTCCCATCTTCTCATGTCAGCCAAATTGAATACATTTTTCTGTCTCCAAAAACCAGTGTCTCAATCTCTTGCCCTACTAGCACATTAATACAGAAACCTGAATTTTGGGAGGTGATTCTGCAACGATATCAGTAGTTTACCTGTGTTTGTCTGAAAGGCAAACTTCTTTGACCAAGAGTCCCTTTTATTTTTTCCTGAAGGGACCAGGCCCTTTTCTTTCTCTCTAATCCCTTCTCTCACAAATTGAGCTTCAAGACACAGTTCAAAGCTGTGGGAAGCTAGGCTCTCCCCTTTGGTGAAGTTCACCCCCCCAAAAAATTAAAACAAAAGAGGAGGTTTTCGATGGCATGAGCCATGGCCCAGCTTTCCCTACCCCCACCCCCCACAAAGGAAGGGAGTTATTACATCCAAAATCTACCACTCCGGGATCCTATGGGAGGTCTGGGACCCTATGGGAAGTATCCTGAGTTCTGCCCCAGACATCCTTGGTAATCAGCTCATACCTCACTTCCCCTTGTCTTCTCAAGATGACCTGGCCAGTTGCTCCAGCCATTGTCCAGCTCTCCCATTGTGCAGCCCACAGACCTATGACTCTGGGGTCTGGTCCCAGTTCTTGCCCACCCTTATGGGTCTTTGGGCAGCATTATCTCTTCTGTGGCTTCTTCCTTCTCCCCACCAAGTCACCCTGGTGGCCAGGAGGTGAAAGGTACCAAACGCCTCAGATGAGACTGTCACTACTGCTTTCCCTTGCTCCGGTGAGATCCCCAGCAAGACCTTTACTAGGAAAAACAAATTATATGGGAATACCCCAACTTTTAGGCACCAGCAGCTCTCACCTGCAGATGGTTCAGATCTCATCTTACGACGCTGCTTCCTCATTTCACCTGCCCAGACATGCGAGCCACAAAGATGGATGAAGAAATGGATGAATTCCCGGTCGCATTTAATAAAAATTTCCCCTTCCTGGCCTTGGATCTCTCTTGGAAGTTGGCTCAGTAGAAGCCAAGTTCCTAGCAGGTGGAACAAGAACAGATGCGGCATCCTGGTCCCACTGTCTCCTGCTCTAGGCATTTCAGTGTTTGTTTAGAGATTGCTGCTGCTGTTGTCTATCAAACTCTGCCTGTGTGCTGATCCTGGACTTCAGGCTGCTTTCCCTTGGTTGCACTAAGCTTTTATATAGCTCCTGGGCTTCCACTTAGACCTTGAGTCAATGGTCTAAGCTCCACCTATTTCCCCACCCACCTCCTTTCAATCCACCCTCAGCAACCCCCTCCCCCAGCTCTAATTTATTCTTCCAACCTTTTCTCCATTGGCCCATCTATCTGTCCTTGGCTCTCTTACAGCTGTATTTTTATCTTTTTCTTATTCTCAAGCCCCTTTGTATACTTATGTAAAGTTAGTCAATATTTGAAGTCTTCCCTTTATTGTAAAACTAGGCTGGCCATTACACTAAATTTTCTCAACAAAAATGAAATAGAAATCATTCATATTTTAGGGTTATCCAGCATGAACATGTGATGCTAAATCTTAATAAGATTATAGTTAGATTAATTAGTATAGTATGTGGTATATCAATCCATAAAAACATAATGAATGTACTGATAAATTGTTGATGAGAGGGAAAACTAATGAATTTTTATCTAAATTGTGGTAGAAACATTAAAACTCTCAATGCATCACTTTAGACTTTTACAATATCTTAAGTTTGCCATGTACTTTCTCCACTGATTTTCCTTCACCTCCTGTGGGAAGTAGTTTGATAGTAACCAGTTTGTTAAATAGTTTAATTTGAGATTGTATTCTTTATCTAGAGACTGGAGAATACACATACACACACACAAACAAACAAACCAGAAAATAAAAGGAAAGAAGTGATGGAATCACACAATTCCAGGAAGAATATTTTGGTAGAACATTACACCACAAAAATCATGGTGATTTTTCTTCTTTTTACTGTGTTTTATGTTTGCTGTATTTGGTGAGATAGTTTTTTTTTTCAATGATACAAGCCTTTTTATTTGGTTAGAAACATTCTCTGGATAACATATTAGATAAAATAAGGTTTGATAGGAAAAACCAAGAGTTGGATATAGAATAGTCATTAAACATATGGCCTGGAAATCATGTGTAGCTTAAACCAGTTTCAAAATACATGTTTCTTTCCAGGAATAGCAAAAATGTAACCAAAGATTGTCTTTTTAAATATGATACATATTGCTACTTAAAATAATTTTATATATGCAGTTGGAATCTTTCTTTTGTCCAGAAAATGTTTTGTCAACATTTAATTGTGAAGTCTTCCTTTGGTATACTCTAGAAATTACAGAATTACAAAGATTACACAGTTTTTCTAATAGATGCAGAGTCAGTGTAATATAGGAATATTATATATTGCTTCAAAAAAGTATGGTAAGAAAGATATCAGTAATTTTCACACAGCCTTATCTTTAGAGATTTTTTAAAGTAAGGATATTTTCAAAAATTCAAGAACTTTTAGAGTAAAAAAAAGGCAGTGGGCTTGGTAGGCAAAAAAAAAAAAGTTAACAAGAAGTAAGGAATTATGTATCTTATGGTAATAGTATGCAAAAATACTACATGAACTGTCATATTTGTCTTGCTATACCCAGTACGTGTGATAGTAGTGATGAAGGTGGCAGGAAAGCTAGTCCAGACAAACCTCATGCCATCTCCTCCATAACCACCCCATCCTAGGTTTGTATGATTTAGGCACCTGCTAGTAGGGATATATGTGATAGAAAGTTATAACCTGTTGAGAAATATGTTTGATATGACTTCCCTATCCATTCAACTTATTCCCAGTGACCTTTTCCCCCAACTTAATTCTGCTGAATTGAGTTCTTGAGATATTTGAAGACCAGGAACACAAAGTACTCTGCCATCCTCTGATTATCAGGATAGGTCAGGGAGGACGAGGAACAAGAATTCAGTGAAAGATTTTAGGAATGATTTCTTTGAATTTGTTACTTATACAATCCTGAAAAATTGTTAAAATTCCTAACTATACCAGTCTAGCATAAATGGGTTATGCAATACTTTAAATGTCTTATAAAGAACTGATATTGGTACTATAAGGATATGCTATTAATACAGCAAAAAATAAATTTGTATTATGGAAAGGGAAATATATTTTGTAACTTGTTTAAGGTTTTAGCCAATTTAAAAAAATCAAATTTATTTATCTAAATACCATATTTTCCTGCTTTCAGGTTTTCTTGTCTGCTGGCCCAGATACCTCACATTCTTGGTTTTCTAGGATAGCCCCAATTTCAGTTTTACTCTTTTCAGTAAATATCATTTGTTTCACAAATAACTAAATGTTAGTTGAATTTCTACATTTGTGTGTGTATGAAGCGTCACCCAAATGAACAAATTAAATATGGCACTTTATCACCTCGCTTACTCTAGTTTTAGTTCTCAAGAATGTTCACTGTGTTCATAGAAAAAGGGTAATGAAAAAATGTAATAAAGATTATTTAAAAGAGAAAATAGTCATTTTTTGAGAAATAAGGTATACAATCAGCTGATTAGCAGAGAAGGGTTTGCCATCAGCTATCAGTTTCTCCTTTGTAAAGTAGAACTCATTAATTTATAGGGTAGAGTGAAAATAGCAATAGATAAGGAACATACTTTGGAGGATCTCAATGAACATAGAATGATAATATTCCAAAATATCAAGTATGTATTATCTGCCAAATACTTTATCTGCATTATCTCATTTTCATCCCTCTCAGGAGTAGTCTGAACTGACTAATGTTAGTATCACCAAACTACAGGTGAGGTGATGGAGGAATGAAGATTCAGTCACATCTTCAGGTCTAGTAAATGGTGAAGTGAGGGTTCAAACTGAGACTGTGTTTCTGCAGAGCTTGGGCCCTTAACACTTTGGATATCAAACATAGTTTGCTGAGAAATTTTACAAACATGATCTCATTCTGCCCATATAACAATCAGGTTACACGGGTATTTACCTCATTTCACAGGTAATACTGAGAAGTACTTGGCCCAAAATCACACAATAAGAGTCTGTGGTGGGACTCAAGCAAAGACTTCAGATGTCAAGTTAAGTGCCTTTTTTATCACATAGAAGTTTCATGTCCCCTTAGTGTCTACTTAGCAATCAACACAGTAATGACATATTGACTTGTTTTTGAAAATTAATCATAATTTGGATTTTTATAATTAACATACACACATATATAACATACACCTTTATTCTTTGAGGATGAATGGCACATTTTGTGACCCTTTAATGCATTAAGCACAAATCAACAAGTTTAAAATACCAGTTCTAAAATCCTGCCCTAATTAAGATCCCTGTGAAGCAACATGGGCTTTTCCTGCCTGCCCTTTGAAAATTTGAGGCTTGAGAAGTAAGTTAATAAAAAGAATAGAACATAAAGAAAAATACTTATAATTTTATGTTTAAACCATAAGAGGAATATTTTAACTTAGTATAGGACAAAACATCTATCGAATTTTGGTACTTGAACATGTAAGACATGAACGTTGCCAAAACAATTGAAAAGTGGAATGTTTGAGGTTGGTATTTTTCATACAACTCCAAACTAATTAAGTAAATGAGAAACTGGAACCCTAATAAAATAGTTTTAAAACAAAAAGATTTATTTTAGAAAGTGTTGACAGTTTTTAGTTTGACAGATAAACTTTCTGGCATGTATTTTAAAACTCCAGTACCTTTTTATTATTCAGTTTTTCATGTCAGTCACCTTTTAATATGGTTACTTAAAAGCAGGAGAAATGTAAAGTCTTAGAACTTAAAGAGTAAATAATAGTGGAAATGTTGCCATATAAACTGAGTATCTATTCTAAATTTTTTTAAATGTCTTTATTTTTTACTTTCCAAATATTTTGGTTAAATAAATATTTCTTGCAAATGTGTGTTCAGAATCCTTGCCTAGATACATAACTTTCTTTGCAATTGATTAGGCAAATTAAGCTGAGTATCTTTTAAATCAGCATTTTATGTTGCCAGCAACACCAACAATTTTCAAAGATCATCTGTTAATTTTGTGTAGCTGGGAAGCTAAAAAGTAGTGCTGATTCATCACTCTTAGGGAAAAAAATACATTTCTAAAAAATATAGAGCAAAGTCTAAATTGAACTATACATTCAAAACAGTGATGTTCAAGTAGGGATGATTTGGAGATATCTTTGGTTGTCCAACTGGTATAGGAGGGGTTCTGTTGGCATCTAGTGGGTAGAGCGCAGGAATGCTAGTAAACATAATTGTACTATAATACACAAGACAGTCCCTCCCACAAAGGGTTATCTGGTCCCAAATGTGCCAACATTGAGAAACCATGGATTAAAGCAATGGAATAATTTCATTTACACTATTAAAATTATACACTGTTAGAATTATTCAAGTGGTTATACAGGCATAAATGATAATGCATTTAATAAATAAATTTATGAGGCTAATGGTCTGGCATATTAAGTATAGCAGTGCATTTAGGTAGGTTCTAAAATATATTACTTTAAGGCTGGTGTCTAGACTCAAGCTCTTAATTAGTTGGCAGAGTATAAGATATTTAAATATTTCAAAAGCCAGCACACTTATTAAAAGTGCCTGCATCCCATACAGAAACTGGGTAATGGCTCAGGACTCAATCCTCCTCTGCTGAGGAGGTGGTCCCTTGGTTACCAGGGTCTTTTCTTTTTATAAAAAATATATTTTTTTATTTTTTCAATTTCAGTTGACATCTAATATATTAGTTTCAGGTGTATAACATAGTGACTAGACATTTATTTTTACCTATGATTCTCCCTGGCAAGTCGAGTACCCACCTGACACCATAGTTATTAGAATATATTTTTTACCAGAAAATAAACACCTCCTTTATTAAAACAGTAACAGCAGAAAGGGTTTCCATTTTGTCAGAACAGTAACATGAACCAGCACTACCTGGTAAGTGTTATCAAGATTAAATGTCCACATTTATTATTCTGTGAGCTCCCTACCACGCCGCTATTTTATCAAAGACAACTGCCATCAGAGCTGCTGTAGAACACGGATACCTTCATAATCAGCTCCTCAAGAACACTGAAATGATACTAGAAGCTCTTGGTATAGAGAGAACTTATCAATGTGGAAAACAGTCTTGCTTCTTGAATGTGAGAAAGACCATGAACTAATCTATCATTTTTTTCTGATATGGTCTGCCACAATACTCTCTGAAGAATCCTTTTCCATTCCTATCAACCTTATCAGGATGAGAGGAAAGGAAAGGATGGGAAGGTGCCAGTGTACTGAGAGGCGATTCAGGTGATAATCTGTGCTCCATTCCCTTTCTGTCAGCGGTAGTAGGAGTCTTTTCAGGCAGGCCAGCAGCTGGATGAGGGGAGGAAGAGGCCAGCCACCAATCACCTCTTCTTAAAGTCATATTTTTTGTATTCATAGAAGAGATCTATCTTAGAGGTCCCAAATTGTCAGTCTTTGGGCAACCATCTCTGTCCTTCTCCTGGTGGGTGCACTCCTTACAATAAGTACTGGAGACTCCAGGACCTCCACAGGTCACATAGCACCCCTGATAGGAGCCAGAGTTACACTCATCACATATGCGCACCAGGGTGCAGGGACACACATAGGAGTCACAGATCACACACTTACCATCACATTTTTCACAGTTTTCTGGTGGCAACACCATGGCTTTTGTGGCGAAAGATCAAGTCCGAGTCATGGTTAGCCATAGCTTGCACTCAAGGAGGTCACCCTATTAGAATCTCATTGACTATATTCCCTATGACGTACTTTACATTCTTGTGTAAATTACAAGAATAATAACTGGAAATTTGTATATCCTAATCCCTTCCCCTTTTCATCCATGCTTCAACTTCCCTCCTATCTGGCAGTCATCAAAATGTTCTTGGTATCTATCAGTTTGTTTCTGTTCTGTTTATTTGGGTTTTTTTAATTCCACATATACATGAAATCATATGATATTTGTCTTTCTCTGTCTGACTGACTTCACCTAGCATAATATTGTATAATGTAGCATAATATCTCTAGGTCTATCCATATTGTCACAAATGGCAAGATTTCATTCTTTTCAATGGCTGATTAATATTTCATTGTATAAATATACCACATCTCTATCCATCTCTTGATTGGAGCATTTAGTCCATATACATTTAAAGCAGTTGTTGATAGGTATGTAAAAACTGCAATTTTATTATTTATATTTTTTATCTTTTTTCTTCTTCTAAAAGAAGTCCCTTTAATATTTCTTGTAATATTGGCTTAGTGGTTATGAACTCCTTTAGCTTTTTCTGGTCTGGAAAGTTCTTTATCTCTCCTTTGATTCTAAATGATAGCCTTGCTGGGTAATCTCAGTTGCAGGTCCTTGCTTTTCATCACTTTGAATATTTCTTGCCAATTTCTTCTGCCCTGCGAAGTTTTGTTGAGAAGTCAGCTGACAGTCTATAGGAGCTCCCTTGTACATAACGTACTGCTTTTTTCTTGCTGCTTTTAAGATTGTCTTTGCCTTTAGTCTTTGGCATTTTAGTCATGATGTGTCTGTAACTATGATATGGGCCTCTTTGGGTTCACCTTGTGTAACACTTTCTGTGTTTCCTGGAATTGTATATCTATTTACTTTGCCTGGTTAGGGAAGTTTTCAGTCACTATTTCTTCAAATAGGTTTTCAATTCCTTACTTTCTCTCTTCTCCTTCTGGTATCCCTATGACACAGGTATTGTACTTGATATTGTCTAGAAGTCTCTTAAACTATACTCTTAAAAATGTTTTGCCCTTTTTGTTGTTCTGATTGTGTTTTCTGATACCTTGTCTTCTAAATTACTGTTTTGACCCTTGGCTTCATCTAAGCTACTGTTGATTCCCTTTAATGTATTCTTCTTTGAAGTTATTGTATACTTCATTTCAGACTGGTTCTATATTATGGTTTCTATCTCTTAAAGTTTTAACTGAGTTGATCTGCTCTTCTCCTAAGTTTAATAAGCATCCTTATAACCACTGTTTTGAACTCTGCATCTGGCAGATTGCTTGTCTCCATTTTGTTCAGTTCTTTTTCTTGAGTTTCATTGTTTTTTCATTTGGGACATGGTTCTTTGTCTCCTCATTTTGGCTGCCTCTCTATTTGTTTCTGTGTATTAGGTGCATCTACTACATCTCCTGGTCTTGTCAGAGTGGCCTTGTGTAGTAGGTACCATGTAGGGCCCAGTGGTACAGACTTCATGATCCCATTTGCTGGGTGCTCCAGGGCTATCCCTTGTATGGGTTGTGTGCACCCTCCTATAGTAGCTGAGCCCTTCATGAAGACTACTCCTCTTTGGCTCTCTTACTTCATAGGCCGTTCACACCACTTCCGCACCTACCTTCTACCTCCAGCCAGTCCAGACTTTCTGGTGTATCTGCAACCCAAGTACTGCTCAAATATTCATAAACTCCAAGACTGACCCAAAGTTACTAGTAGGAAAACCAGCAAAGATGCTAAATAGTGAACCCTGAATGTTAGAAACTACTTTCTACAAATTGGACAGTTGGTAGTATGCAGGGTATAATCTGAAATTTCCTGTGGGCATCCACAAGGCCAAACCTAACAGAGCAGTTCCAACCCTCTTGTGGAACAGACATACTCCAAGGCCAAGAGTCACAGCAACACCTGAGTGACAAGGCTTATTTAATAATATTTCTCAGCAAGAGTTTGTTTCTTTCCCAGAAATGTGGAGCAGAAAAACTATCTAGGTTCTGGCTAGTGTAGCTAAGATACCACATTTGAACATGCATATATTAAAATCGTTGAAGTCTATAAAATACAGTATTAAGTTCAGATTGCTCATATTCTGATTACATTGATTATAGATTATTTTTGCAATTTGAGTCTGCTCCCTCCCTATTCTCTTCAAATCCCACTTTTGGAACATTTTCTAAGGCTCTGAAATTGAGCATATGTGATAGTTTTTAAAAATTATCTTTGATTTTGACTTCGTCACTTTCCTTTCAGAGTCAGGAATTATGTTACATTGGAAAGAATCCTTCCAGGGATACCAAACACCAAGGTTTTAGTAGACAAACTACCCTTACCAGATGTGGAACTTTAGGTAAATCAGTATGAGTCACCATTTTACAACTGTAAAATGGGGCTTAGATTAGACTACTTGTAAGGGTTGTCCTTCCTTCTTTAACATTTTAACAGTATAGTTTCAGTATTTGTCACTAAAACTGTTTATGCTATAATCTTTTACAAAGTACAGTTTAAGTACTATACCATCATGGACCCTTTGAAGTTACTCCCAAACACAAACTGAGTTAGGTGGTTTGTAATTTTAGTCCCTGTAGAATAGAGTGCAGCCTGCTTGGTGTGACCCCCAAGGAGCTGAGCTGGGCCTCCAGGCTTATTTCTTAACAAGTCTCCCAGGAAAGGAACTCCTTGCCCCAGCCAAACCTAATAACCAGCAGCAAACCCCTGGACTTGGCATGCATGGTTCTGCCTTTAATCATTCTCCCTCTGCCAAGAAGCACTTTCTCTTCACCTCCTTGTATTCATGGAGAACTGCAAAGCATCCTTCAAGACCTGGCCCTAGGTTCTCTTCAACTATAATTTTATCAAAGCCATATGTTAACATGTCATCAGCTGCTTGTGTGTACCAGCCATGTATTCATGCTTTTTTCTTCCCTTCAGTTCTCATTTCCTACTATTCTCCACGGCTTTCTTTCTATTTTTGGCAAGTCTTGGAGCTCCTTTCCTCTGGCTCTTCCTTTTGCTTAGAGATCACTTCCCTGTCTCCATTCCTTCTCTTCACAGGAATGGCTTTCATCATTCAGTTTTCAGTTCAAATGTCACCTCTTCAGAGAAGCAGTTCTTACCGTGCCAGATCTAAAGTAGTCACCCCTACTAACATCCTTCCAATCATCCTGTTTCTTCTCTACCAAAGCATTTGTCACCATCAGAAATGATCTTGTTTATTTCCATGTTTGTTCTTCTCCCTAGTTAACCCCTCACTAGAACACATTCCTCTGACTGGGATGTAGTGACCTTGTCTACTTACTCACTCAATGTAATGTAGCCCTAGTACCTATAACAGTGCCAGACTACAGTAAGTATCAATAAATATCTTTGGAATTAATGTATTACATGTAGTGTTTGCAACTATAGTAATGGGTATAAATAGAATTACTTTATGAGTATAGGTTTTCTGGTGAGTGGAAATAAAGATAGGCACCACACTCAACTTCCCCCTCCATCCCTCCTGTCTAGCTACTGTGCCCTGAGTCATTATTTGAATGTTTTTGCCATTTGTCTTTCACACCTGCCTTTCCACATTAAAAAAGCATTAAGACCTAACTTTTTCATGCCTTTTCAGAGCATAGACACTGGAGCCAAACTGTACAGGTTCAGGTGCCAGTTCTGTTTACCTTGGGCAAGTAATTTAACCAACTTCTCTGTGCCTAAGATTCCAGATCCATAAAATGATGCCTACCTGATGGGATTGTTGGCATGGGTAAAAGGACATGTGCGAAACACTCAGAACAGTGCCTGGCCATAGTTAGCACAATATATATGTTAGTCATTAATATTAATTGTTTCTGTCAGGTGGAGATAGGACACAATGGACAAATCCAAATAAAAGACAAATGTGACGGGAAAAGTATGTGAGATATAGAAATGAGAGCATCATCTGTTTTGGGGAATTTGAAACAATATAATTTATTAGTTTTACATTTAGATATAATTTACATATATATGAAATCTGAAAGTTAGAGTACCTTTTTTGTTGAATGTTATAAAATTTTAAAATAGCTTCACAAAACTGATCTTACATTTTTAATATTTTAAAATAAAATCCATTGTATCAAAATCTTGGGCATTTAAAAAATTTTGAAAACCCCAATTCAAGTCAACAATTTTGTGTTTTGAGATTAAATAGGTAAACATGATATTATTTATCTATGAAGAATTTACTTTGTTCCCTTCTGGCTTTTTCAAGGCTTTCAAAAGTAATCACTCCTTTTGGCAGCTGTAGCGTACTCTGTTCTGTTTCCAGTATGTTCTCGGCTTCACCTTAAATAAAGTACAGACATATGCAAGGTGACAAAGGGGTATCAGCATTTTGTGAGAAGACTCGACTTGTGTTCCAGTGACAAGTTGTAACACTGTGTGAAGGGATGCCCTCAAGTCTTACAGTTAAGTATTTCATCTGTTGTCCTCAGAAGTAACCTCCCAAAGGAAATACAGTGATGAATTCTGAAGACTCACAGAGAGATAAATCATGTGCCAGGGACTTTATCTGATAAAAGACAACATTTTTTAAATACAAAAGAGAAAGCATACTAAGTAATATTTTTCCCTTGAAGGAAAGTCAGGATGCTAAGTATTAGTTGTGTTGGAAGGGGTATGAGGTAGTCCCCTTCCTATTGCCTCTTAATATATCGCGTAAGTGGCTTGAGAGAAAATAAAATTTATTAAAAATTATAAAATTTTAGGAAAGCTAACCTTTATCCTGAAACTACTTGTAAATACCAAAATAATATTAAATGTTCTTTAGTCTGTATACATGCATTCATACACATCCTCACATTTTTATAAACAATTCCTCTTTCAGATAACAGTAATTTCTTGGGCCCATTGACATTTGCCAACTTCTAATGTTGAAGACTAATTAGGAAAGTCAATAAAAAATTATAATACACATTGACATACTATAAACTTTGGAAATGAAGGCAAAATTTTTTAAGTTCTCCTCTTTTAGCACACAATTAATTTATACTCCAAGTCCGACAGGGCAGACTACAGTTTTCAAATTATATAACAGCATTTCAACTATCTACAAACATTTCTTTCCTCAGGCTTAAATAGTAAGTAAAGATCATTATAACTTGTATATAATCAGGCAGGCCATTGATGACAGACTAGATGTTTCCATGTGAGAATATCTGGGATATAGCAAATCTCAGTGTGTGTTTACAGGATGGTTTATGTTAAATTCAGTCAAACAGGGACTGTATATCTTCAAGTCATCATCACTAGTTAATGGGGTTAACTGTGATAATCTGAAGTTTCTAATATGGTAAGTTTCCTCGTGGATTCTGAAGATGATTTCTTTTTATAAAAAATTCCCACAACATTCCTTGAAAGTTGAAAATTTTATATTCTGTAGAATCTGATAGACCTGTAATAAAATTGCTCCCAAAATATATAATCAAAATGTTCCCATAAAATAAACTTGCTCTCCTTTAGTAGTATGTTCAAAGGAATACTGTGTAATAGAGTTGACATCTCTTAACATCACATGGTTTTTATGAGGCTCTGAGAATTCTAATGCCCATAGAAACAATGCGACATAGTTGAACTCAGACTAATGACTCTTTAAGCAGAAGAGTATGTGAAACTGAGCTGGTTATTGAAATGAGTTTTAACATTGGTAAATCGGTTGTATACAATTAATTTCCATCTTCAAATGGCATTGTACTCTAAAATTAATTTGTAGATCATTGTTTTAGTACTTAGAATACATTTTCCCATAGTAATAATGCTATAAATCAATTTCTAGGCCATCAACAAAAACTGTGTTGTCCACAATATAGATAAACTATGATACCAATAATGCCTGATCACAAAGGCACTTTAACATACTATCTATGTGGAAACATATTTCTGTTTTTAAGAACATATAATCCCTCCATTTCCCTAGGCCCAGGAGTGAGATGTTCTGCTCCCTGCTCTCAACCCTGTATGTTCTCCTTTCCCATAACAAACCAGTCCCCATAGAGATTCAAGTATAGGCCCATAGCCCAGGAGAGGGCAGGATGGCAACCATGAAGGCTTGGGAAAGCACTCTTTCCAACATGCTCTGGGTTAAAGGCTCGAAAAGTGAGACACAGGGATCCTCACGTGAGTGTAGCTCCCAGAGAAGTGGTGGGAATTTGAAAAACATGAATAGCTTTCAAATAATGGGAAACTATCTTCCTGGGACAGGAAAGGCTTCCATGGCAGCAGAGCCATTTGGTAGGGCAGTAAGAGCCAGGGTTCTGTGAGAGCAGCACAGTGCCGGTGAACAGTTAACAACCAGCTTTTTTTTGCGGGGGTGGGGAGTAAGTTTATTATGTATATGAGTTTATTATAAATGTTACTTATATTAAATATATGTAGCATACAATCTATAAATAATAAAATGTAAAGTACATTATATCATAAATTCCAAATAGCAAACTGACTCTCACAGAATGTTTTATGGTTTTTTTAAGATTTATTTTTAGAGAGAGGAAAAAGGAGGGAGAAAGAGAGGGAGAGTAACATCAGTCAGTTGCCTCTCACACCCCCCCGAAATGGGGACCTGGCCCACAGCCCCGGCATGTGCCCTGACTGGGAATGGAAGCAGTGACCTTTCAGTGCTCGAGCCAGAGCCACCCAGCCAGGGCTCGCAGAAGGTTTTCATTGATGAACTCCTGTAGTTATAGCTAATCTATAGTAGCAGATAATAAATGAGTATAGTTCAGCAAAACAATGACATGTTGGAACTTTATATGTGAGAATGATGTGAACAACTTTGCTGAATCAGATAACAGTTATTAAATATTGGGAGAATATTTCCTCATTTTATGCTATTCACAATGTAATGGCTATGGACAACACACTTTTAAGTATAATTTGCATTATTAACATATCCTTCATCACTGTCTTAAATCTAGATCCTTTAAGAAAGTGCTGACAAACTTTCTTAAAGGACCAGACAGTAAATACCTCGGGCTTGTGAGGCCTTTTGTCTCTGTTGCAATGACTCAGCTCTGTCATTGCAACATTACCATACCATATGGTAATGGGAAAGCTGCCAAAACCAATTCAGAAATGGATGGGCATGTCTGTCTTCCAATAAAACTTTTATTTTCAAAAACAAATAGCCCACAGTCCATAGTTTGCCAACTCCTGGTCTAAACAATCAACAAAAAAAGTCAAGGCTTGATTTGGCATTTGCAGATCTCCGTAGTGTAAATACTCCCATCATGATCAGCTTCCAGGTACCAGTGGGATGTCACTGAAGTTAGAGTTGTACCTGTATTTTATTGTATTTGTATATGGTATCTGCATTTCAACCATACAGATATAATAGATATTAATAACTTAATAGTATAGATATATAACCTAAAAGTGCAGATTATCATATAATAATTAGAAACCGATCAATTCTAAGCACTTTTTACTGTGGTTTTTAATATAATTTAGTGTTTGTTTTTTGTAATTTATTTCACTGTAAGTTTATATTATTTAATTTTTAACAACCAGGGAGATTTTCTTCAGAATCTTCCAAAGTTAAGGGATCATAAGGAGGGGATCCTTTAATCAGATAGTGAATCAGAAATAGAGTCTGGTTTATCAAAGACTTACCTTTCATTCTTTGTAGAAGGGTTCCGTAGCCCAAGTCATACTGGTAGGTAAAGACAAAGCCTAATGGGATGATAGGGAAGAGGAAGGCTGGCTTCTTCCTTTTTATTGCTCTGGTTCAAGAACAAAGAATAAATATCAAAAAATAACCTCTAAATACCGATCTCTATACTTGAAAAAAAGTTTACCTGCTCTTTGAAAGAATGTCCTTCATTTCAAAAGTTACTTAGTTCATTTGTGTGTTCTTTGAAAATAGGATTTCCTTACCCATAACCCCATACCAGCTTCTGCAGTTCTCCAGGGCAGGCAGGGTCAGGGTCTATGACTTGCTGATCTTTATTTGATATTAAGGCTCAGATTACTCATTATATTAATGGTTAAGTACTGATAATCTACCCTTTTAGAGATTGTGGAGATTAACTTGTAGAAGCCCCCTTCTATCTCAGTGTCAAGTTGGTTCTCTAACTTACAAAATGGAGAAAAGGAGAGAGGAAACCTAATAAATGAAAGGCAAAATTAACTATTGCTGCTCAGTTTTTACAGAATTACCTCTGGGGACTAAGCTATACTTTGTTTACATACACACTTTTGGGACTGAAGTCCTACCTTGGCCAACTTAGTATCATAATGGCAAAGACAAAATAAATAAATTATTTAAGAAAATTTAAAGTAAATAACAAACATACCCAGCTGTTAAAGAGGTGGCTACAATCCCAAAAAACGTTCCAAAGTATTTGAGAAATTCCCGAGACCAAGCAATCTGCATGGCCATTTGTCTCTCTCTCATTTCATTCTGCATAATTAGCTGCCTTTCCAGCTGAGTACAAAACAAAAGAAAAAGTGTGGTTACTCATCTTTTGAATATGAGCAGAGTCAATAATCTGTTTTTCCAGTGGATTTTCATTCTTCAGTTGCTTTGATTCTTTTTTTTTTTTTTTTTAAATTTTCAATAGACTTTTACTAAAGTCCCTCTGGACAGCTGTCCCCAACTGTTAACTTTGGCAGTAAAATCTTCCTGGAATATATGCAGAATAGACATGATTTTCTTTTTCTGTGTCCTGAAGTATTGAAAACATGTGGTTCTGAAGCTTTTATCCAAGCCTAATATATATGTTCAGCTTATTATATCATATGTGAAGAAAGATTTGTGTGCATTTAATGTAGACACATCTTATTGGCCTTTATTATAACTTGCACTGAAATAAGTTTGTCTTCCAAATCCATCCAACTCCAAGTTGAAATTCATTTGGATTATCGGGTCCATATCACACTGTGATATAATGGTAGATGGTTATTATTTTGAGACATCAATAGAGATTTTTATTTGCCACAGTTTTCTTCTTGCCTCAGTCCTTCACCACTTAAGTCAGTGCCTTTCACTGCCTTGGAGCAAAAAGCAGATGCAGCTCAGAACATAGGAGACTCAATTTCTGAGTGGATTTTTAGAAAACACAAGAGAAGCAACAATCTGAAAGCCCAATCCCATTATTTTGAGAGATTCTTGAGAGAGAAAAGTTGTAATTTTTCATTCTAAAATCTTGGTACAGTGTATTATTAGCAAAGCCTAGAGGATGGCAAGCACAGAATTCATGATGTAAACCACAAGGTGAGGAGAAATAATTAAAAATGTGACTCAGTTTCCCTTCTGGGCCTTCTTTCTACTGTGGGAAAGAACTGGGAGAGAATGAGATTTTCGATATAAAGATAGGGCTGGGCTCCTTGGCCCCTCTTGGGGGCTGAAGCCCCAGGGCAGTAATAGATTTAGGGTTTGGGGACCCCCAGTTTGAGAGCCTCAAACATTTGTTTGTCCCATCAACACACATGAAGATTTATCTCAATCTCCAGGTATCATTTCTTATTCAGGTTCAAGAACCATCTCTTCTTTTTCATTATCACTAAATGTACCATTCCTAGTTAATTTCATCATAGGCAAACCTTGCACTGGAATAAACAGGTTCTTTAGGGATTCAGATTTGATCATTCTTGCCAAAATAAAACTCTAGTGGAATGTGTTCATCTTTCCTAGATTCTTATGGCTGCCAGCAATCCTTGGAACTCCTTGGCTTGTGACACCTCACTTTAATCTCTGCCTTTATTTTCACACAGCCTTCTTCTCTGTCTTCTCATGGTCTTCTCTCTATGAATTCTAACTATTTTAATAGACATTTGTCTAAAAGCTATGATATAATGCCACCTTCATAATAAAAAATAGTAAATCAAAGTTGCTTGATCAGTTATTTATAATTTAAGAGTGGTTATATATAGGGTGGGGCAAAAATAGGTTTATGGTTGTTCATATGGAAAATAATACAATAATTAATAAACAATAACATAAAAGTATAAACTATTTCACGTACTCCTACTATAAACCTACTTTTGCCCAGCCCTATATATACTCTTCTAGGAAGGAATGGAGGTGGTTTGAACATAAGGAAACATCCTTTCATAAAGACCCAGCATCATCATTAGCTCGCCTGTGCTGTAATGCAGTGGTGCTGACCCAGTTCACCAAATGGTCCTGGGCCTCTGTCCGTTTTCTTTCTCCTCCATCAAGATGTTGTTTCTCACTCTTGGCAATAAATCCTTTTCTCCTGGCTTCTATTTCTCCTCTCTCTCTCCCTGTCTTTCTCAATCATCTGTTGCTTTCAATTGTCCAGGGGCAGGGAAACAATAAACCTTTTTATTTATTTATTCTTTTTTTAAAATTTAATTTAATTTTATTTATTGATTATGCCATTACAGTTGTTCTATTCCCTCCCTTCATTCCCCTCCACCCTACCCCCCGTCCCCACCATTACCCCCCCTTTAGTTTATGACCATGTGTCTCAAGTTCTTTAGATTCTATATTTCCCATGCTATTCTTGCCCTCCCCCCCCATCTATTTTCTGTCTACTGTCTATGCTACTTATTTCTGTACCTTCTCCTCTCTTCTCCTCCTCCCACTCCCCTGTTGCTAACCCTCCTTGAGATCTTCATTTCTATGTTTCTACTCCTGATCTAGCTGTCCTTTTAGTTTGCTTTTGTTTTAGGTGTGGTTATTAATAACTGTGAGTTTGCTGTCCTTTCACTGTTCACCAAAGACCTACAACCAAGATTGCTCTATCCAGCAAAACTTTCATTTAGAATGGAAGGACAGATAAAGTGCTTCTCAGATAAGATCAAATTCAAGGAGTTCATCATCACCAAACCCTTATTATATGAAATGTTAAAGGGACAACAAACCTTTTTAGAACTGTTCATAAAGTAGAAGTACGTAAGTTCCTAATGAGCATTTGAAAGCCAGGGGCTTATTTTGAGTATGGTGCATGCATTTTAGAATATGGTCTTATTATAATTATATGGTTCTTTTGTCTTTAAGTATTTCTTTTTGCTTCCTCATAATGCTCCAAATAAGAGGTTGTCAGTTATATGACTTAGGTCTAATGAAGTGTCATTATAGTCAAAATAAAATGGAGAGTAATATTGTTTACTATTTATAAAAATAAGCCATAAAATTATGAAATAGTTATTTTCAAAATACAAGTCAAACAAAAGAGGTCAAACAAAATAAAACAAAAAGACAAAACTAAACCCAACTGACTACAACTATGACCATGTAGAATATTCTTTTAGTTTCTCTATCTTCGTAATGAGTTGTGCTTTTCTGATCCTACATTTCTATGTCTTCATGCAATCCTGAAAACAAAAGGTTTTTATCCAATAAAAAGGTCTTCTATATTTTCTTGTGGTTTTATTACACTCAGTAATGTTCTAAATATAAAATAATTCCTCAAAAATGCTTTAAAAGATGGAGAAATCCTAAGCAAGAAACAAGTAAGGGGGACTAAAGGTCATGCTAAGAGAAGGCCTTCCCACCTGGTTGACAGGATTTTTTAAAAGTCTGCTTGACAAACTGATTCTAAAATTCCTTTGGAGAAGAGAATATTTTACAACATGGATAAACCTCAAAAATAATATGCTAAGTAAAAGAAACCACACGCAAAAAACTGCATATGGTATGATTCCATTTATGTGAAATGTCTAAAAAAGGCAAATCTATAGAGACAGAAAGTACATTAGTGATTTTCTGGGCCTGGGGTTAGGATCAAAGATATACTGCAAATCAGCACAAGGGAATTTTGGCAGATGATGGAAATGTTCTAAAACTGGATTATGGTGATGGTTGCACAGCTCTATACATGTGCTAAGTCATTTAATTGTACCCTTACAATAGATGGATTTTATACTATGTAAATTACAACTCAACAAAGGTGTTTAAAAAAATAGAAGTGGGACATGGTACCCCTTCAGCATCAGTCACAATAGGTAAGTAACAGCATGTATTTATTCTAAAATATCAGTCGCCTGACCATACAATTATTCCAGGTCTTTCATGATCTACTCTCAATAATTGTTCAAAGACGTCTGGACCACTAGGTAAGAAATAACTTTACGCAGATGTGAAGACTTTATCAATAATTTTATAATAAAATGTTCCATCTTTATCAGAGGGAATAAAAACTGTGTTTTAGTATGATATATCTATTCATTTTATAAATGAATTCTTTTAAGCTTCATATTCCATATTTTTTCTATTCTCATACTAATAAATTCCACTACCAGAATTTTCCTTGCAGTGGCAGGAGGTTGGGAGGATATTGTTTTTTCTCTGTAAATGTTCCTATTTTTTCTTCAAGTTTTTCTATCTCTAATGCTAATGTCACCCTCCATGGGTATTGGGTATTAGAACTTATTTGCTAGAGGTACAATCTGCAGCACAGGAAATTTTTGGTCAAGAGAGTGGGTTGAACTGATCTGTTTTCCTTTAAAACATTGGTCAAATGTCAATCCATCATCACTTTTGCCAGGTATTTTGGGAGTTTGGCTTGGATGGTTATTAATCTGGAGATTCTTTTATTTAGAAGAAAATACAGTTATATGGTATCTAAAATCAGAATCTAGTTAACATCAGAAACTTAATCTAGTGATATAATAATTGTTAATAGGAAGAATTCCTAGGGCAGGTTATCTCTAATTTAATTAATTTTAGCCAGGCCTTAAAATTAAAAATTTATTATTTAAACCTGATTTCAATATAAAAACAAAAGTAGATTGTGGGAAGGATTCATTATTTAGTTATCTATTTCTGGGAATTAATATTGATACTTCCAATTTTCATGATCACATGTGATTTCAAAAATAAAATATCATCTTTTTAAATGGATTCCAGCACTTCTGTGATTACAAAAATAGGGCCTTCCGAACAATTTTCAGCTCCATTTGGTATTTCTTTGGAGCCCAGTGCTTTGGGACCTTCTTGATTTAAGTAAGTTTGATAAGCTTGATAATTAGTGCATCTCTTTTCAGAACCTTTAGGACTTATAAATTTTTTTTTTGCTGGAAAACTTTTGGTTTTGTTAGAAGTTTTTGTCTCAGTTCAGTGGCATTTTCTTTTCTTTTTGAGGCCACAGGCTCTGTTTCTTTAGAACTCCCCCCCTTTTTTTTCAAAAGCACTAATGACAGAAATGTTGCTGAGATTCTTTTGAACTTTTTTACATTTAGTTTGCTTCTTAGGACTGCAGTTTTTTCTCTCATCCAGAGAGAAGGAGAGAAGGAAGTGTAGTAGCTGCAGGCAGTTGTCCAAGGTGCTGCCCCAGGGTTCACTGAATTAATGGAGCAAAAAGACAAAGGGAGTATTGGCTGGCACTGGTGTCAGTTGTACTCAGCATATCCCCTTAAGTTTGTAAACTTTTTTCCCATCTCTAAGCCTAGTTCTGAGGAAGTTCTGAGAAGCCCTGATTACTGCTTTCTCCATCTAATTTCCTTATATTTAAACAG